GTACAGTGGATAAAGGCGTTGGTTAGTGACAGGACCCAAAGAGTGTGAGTTCAATACCCGGTTAAGGCAGTGGAGAACTTTCAGAGGGAGATAACTGATAACTGACATCCATCAAACGTGGAACAGTCTACCGCAGTTCGAAATTCCAACCAGAGTACAAAAATGAGGACAATAGTCCGAATAATGTAAATAATGTACATAATACCTCATCTCAGAAATATAGACAGATTCGTATCATTTGTAGGTTTGTCGTTTCGTTATCTCCCCAAATTCTGTCATCCATTTCGACAAGCTCATTAGGCAGATTCCTCGCTGCTTTCCTCTGTCCTTCCAGGCTTTCCGATTTTACGCCTTGATCCTTTTTGATCCTTAGCCGATGTCTTACGCGAGCCTGCTCGGTCAAATGTTCCCCTATGATATACGATGTTTATTTAACATCTATTTCACCGTCAAAATACTATATAGCGAGAAATCTGCAGAAATGTAGGGATTTGGGGTGATAACGAAACGACACACCTTAACAAGAGCTACAAGTTTTCTTTCATATTTGTAAATATTCACTGGCGATTAGATTTTTGAATTTGTTATTTTATTCCCCTTTCCTCACAGATATGAATTGTACATATGGAGAAGAGTTAGGATTTTCAGAGAGACATGAGGTATTACAGTGAATGTAGTAAGAATGGTAAGTAAGAATGTATTGTTTTGGTGTAAGGAATAATGTGGTATGTTTGGCTCAGTAAATGTGGCTATCTAAGTTTCATGTTAAGACAGAAGAAAACTGTCATTTTCCCGATTCCTCATTTTGGCTTTGTGCCACATTTTGTAAATTTTACAAATAAATAAAGCTCTTCGCCCTGCTAGTTTTATTTCATATTTGTAAATATTCATTTGGGTTTAAATTTTTTAAAATGTTTTTTTATTCCCCTCCCCTCACAGACATGAATTGTACATATTGGGACTAGTTAGGATTTTGATAGAGACAATGCGGTATTATGAATGGTAAGTAAAAATGCATTGTTTTGGTGTAAGAAATATTGTGCTATGTTTGGGTAATTGTGGCTAGCTAAGTTTAATGTTAACACAAAAGAAGATCATCTTTTTTCCGTTGTAATAAACGTGGCGACAAAGACGAGGACAATTTTATATATCAACAAACAGTATTTAGAAATATAGTATTTTGAAAAATAGTATGACAAATTGTAAAAAAGGATTTGCGATGCGTTTCATCCGTGGACTGAACATTGTTGATGTTGCCACGTCTACATATTCGCATAAAACGAGAGACGCTGGTAGTTTCATAATTTTTAAAATAATATTTTTGAAAGAATATTATTATTATTATTTTTCAATCTAGCCAAATTCATCTGTATTTTTTTTCTTTTTCTTCTTCACCTTTGTCCCTGACTATTCCACATTGTGACAACAGGAAATCTACCAAGAATGGGGATATATTGTAAGAACCTGGATGCAAATTTTCCGTGGCTGAATCTACCATTCTTCATTTTGAAGAAATATGAAAATCTTCCTCGTTGCTCACATGTTAAGCCCATATCATTCCAAGAATCATTCTGTAGAAGGACGTTTCTGCTTCCTAGAACTGCATCAGACAAAATAAACCAGATTTTAATAGGACTTTCAACAGCAACAACAACAAAAGTGGATAACACAACTCAAAGAAAAAATAATAATGTAGACGTTCCCCACTACTTCAAACAAAAGGTTAGGAAGGAAACTCCCATCAAAAGAAAGAGGGATAGCAGCTACTTGACTTGTGAAATGAATAAATGCCTTATTTACATTATTCGGACTATTGTCCTCATCTTTATCGCCATATTTATCACAACCTTTCGGCCGTTGTACGCTCCGGTCTTCTTCAGGTGGTTGAAATGTCGAAATGAAACCCTTTATTTCGCTCACTGGGGTAGACTGTTCTAGTTCCACGTGCCATGTTTGATGGATGTCAGTTATGAGTTATCTCCTGTTAATTTTCCCTCTGAAAGTTCTCCACTGCCTTAACCAGGTATTGAACTCACATTCTTTGGGTCCATATCACTGGATCTAACCAACGCCTTTATCCACTGTGCCATGTGTTCTTGAGACAGAAATGGAAATATAGACAGAATAAATGCCTAATGCTCCTTTATGAGGAACCAAAAAGACAAGTTGAAATTCCACATGACCCAGTGGATAAAACCGTTGGTTTTATGTGATTTGACCCAAAAGAGATGTGAGTTCAATACCTGCCCACAGCAGATGGGAAGCAAAATCTTGGACAGTTGTGTTAAATAATAGATAACTGAAATTGAGATATCCTGAAAATACAGGGTCAGTAGAACTTGGACAATCCACGCCCCCAATCCCAGGACGAAATAAAGGGCTTGGTTCGAAATTCCAACGTATAATACCTGAAGAAAGCCGGAGAGTACAACGGCCGAAACATCGTGAATATAACATTAAAGATGAAGACAACAGTTTGAACTAAGTAATTAGTGTAAATAGTTACAATACCTCATCCCACAAATGTAGACAAAGCCGGAAGAAGGCCGGAGCATAGAACGATCCAAATGTCATGAATATGACAATAAATATGAGGACAACAGTCAAAAATGTAAATAGTGTAAATAGTTACAATATCACATCTCAGAAATATAGATACATCCTGAAGAAGGCCGGAGCGTACAATAGTCGAAACGTCGTGTATATGATAATAAAGATGAGGACAACAGCCCGAACAATGTAAATTACAATACCCAATCCCAGAAATATAGACAAATTCTGAAGAAAGGCCGGAGCATACAACGGACGAAACGTTGCGAAAATGGCAACAAAGATGAGGACAACAATCCAAGCAATGTAAATAGTGTAAATACTTACAATACCTCGTCTCAGAAATATAGACTGATTCTGAAGATGTCTGGATATTACAACGGCCGAAACGTTGTGAATATAGCAACAAAGATGAAGACAGCAGTCCAAATAATGTAAATAGACGACATGGCCGTTATTAAGTACTATTACTATAGCTGGCGTAGGGGAAAGGAAATAATTTCATGCCTTTCCTAAGCTCATTTTTAAGGAAATGACCACCGCAGACTTGGCCAGAGTTTGAACCTGTCTTTTTGGTTCCACTCGCCGGGGCATTAACTGCTACGCGACCCAAACTAGGTTTATTAAATAACAATTTTAAAATTTCAAAATTGAAATTTTAGATTTTATCGATGCTTGAGAAAGTTATTTTACTTTTTTTTAAGAGTTTAAATTGCCCCATTCATCGATTCTTTCGCTATTAACTTAAAAGACGTCTTATCGTCACTTATCGATTCCTCATAGAGACTGGGTAATTAAATGTCTGAAGAATTGAAGTGGCGCTACGAGCAACCTAATGGTTAAAAACATGAATATTGAAATCATCGCACCGAGTTCAAATTCAGCTCGACAATTTTATATATCAACAAACAGTATTTAGAAATATAGTATTTAGAAAAATAGTATGATAGATTGTAAAAAGGTTTTTGCGATGCGTTACATCCGTTTGGGTGTCAGTGGACTGAACATTGTTGATGTTGCCACGTCTACATATTCGCATAAAACGAGAGACGCTGGTAGTTTCATAATTTTTAAAATAATAATTATGGGCCACACGCAAACAAAAATAAAATAAAATAAATCGCTTTCACTGAATACATTTTCCTCTGTGAACTGTCGCGATATCAACTGAAAGTTGTTACAGATATTGTTTCAGACAGGGTTTTGTCCTGCTCATTATATGCCAAATGAATTGGACCACAGAAAAACCATGTCAAACGAACCTTACAAAGAAGGCCATTGACTGCAACCAGTCCTTGGCTTTTTGATGAATTACTTTCTTAGACAAAGATGACAAGACAATGAACCCTGTCTCTATAAGACAGTGGTCACTAGCGGCATAAAATGTGAGACCTACAAAGAGTGGACAGAAAGGAATGAGACACGAAAGGGAAGATGCTCCCGTTAAATTGTTCACCTCCTCTTCATTTCTTCCTCACCAGTCTACAGCATAATTTTACAACTGAATGGAATTTGTTTGCTGCCACAATCGGCTAATGGTTTTATTTCCTGTGTAATTTTTAAGGTACAAATGCTTAACTGGAAGAAGCTGGACCGTAAATGCGAACCTGGTGTCTGGTCGAAACAGCAATGCTACAGACCTTTTGCTGAATTTCTCTTGAGAGCTGCTTCTATATGTTCTCTTGAGAGCGGAATCAGTTTCAAGGTTTTCTGGTTCATTGAATCGATTAAGACAATGTTCTTCATTAGAATCCATCTGGCACGTTTATAAATCTTCCATTCATCCGTGCAATGAATATTGCTGTCATATTTGGTCTGACCCTCTGGCTATATATATATATATATATATATATATATATATATAGATAGATAGATAGATATAGATAGATATGTATCCAATATATATATATATATATATATATATATATATATATATATATATATATATATATATATATGTAGACAATATATATGTATATGTAGCCAATATATATATATAGCTTTCTTTTCTGGACAAAGAGTGTGTAAGAACTGAACTGAACATTTGGACAGTTCTTACACACCCTTTTGTCCAGAAAAGAAAGCTCTTGTTTAAAAAAACAAGAAAAATTAAATAAAAAGCTTAACCGTAGTAACTTATCTGTTGTTTTTAATGAAACATGCATAAAGTAAGGATTGCTGCCTAAATATAGAACTATATATATATATATATATATATATATATATATATAGCCAAATATATATATATATATATAATATATATATATATATATATATAGCCAATATATATATATATATATATGTGTGTGTGTATGTCTGTATGTATATAGTCAATAAATTTCATGACATATAACGAAACAGAATATTGAATAGTAAGATAGAGATATGCGCATATTAACATAGATAGATAGATAGATCATTAAAGTACAAATACACACACACACACACACGGATAGATAGATAGATAGATAGATAGATAGATAGATAGATAGATAGATAGATAGACCATTAAAGAACAAATACACGCACACACGCACACGCATAGATAGATAGATAGATAGATAGATAGATAGATAGATAGATAGATAGATCATTAAAGAACAAATACACACACACACACACGCATAGATAGATAGATAGATAGATAGATAGATAGATAGATAGGTAGATAGATAGATAGATAGATAGATAAAGAGAAATGGATATATATGATGAAACATGGCATATAACGAAACAGAATATTGAATAGTAAGATAGAGATATACGCATATTAACATAATTAGATAGATAGATAGATCATTAAAGAACAAATGCACACTCACTCTCTCTCTCACACACACACACACACACACACATATATATATATATATATTATATATATATATATATATATATATATATATATATATATATATATATATAGATAGATAGATAGATAGATAGATAAAGAGAAATGATATATATAGTGAAATATATGATATATAAGGAAACGGACTGATATTGAATCGTAAGACAGAGAGATATAAGTATATTAACATAATTAGATAGATAAATAAATAGATATGATAAGACACATATAAATAAATAGATAGATAATGAAAGGGAAAACATATATATACATATAAGACTCATTTTGTTAAAAAATGTCCAGTTTATTTGCGTCTTCCCTTTTTTGGTCCAGAGGGTGAATCTTTAGCTAGGCGAATTTTGTGTGCGATTAATAGCTGTTATTTTTCGGCTAATTTTCGGGTAATATTTGTTGCCAGTCCTATTTTCTCTTCTATTCGTAAGGATGTCCTTCTCCCCCACCCCCATCAAGTTAATTAAGTGATTTATAAATATAAGTGTAGTTTCGACTACATAGGGAGGACGTCTCAACGTTTGGATCTGAGAATAAAACAACACTTACTCCCTAGGATTTTGAATCCGGACGCCAGGAAAAGCCAACTAACCAATACTTCTGGCTCTGCTACTGCAGAGCATGTTATAAATAGTCGGAATTGTGTCTTTGATTTTGGTGTGGACCGTTTCTCGATTTTATCTATGTCCCACTCTACATTTCACCTCAAGGTCCTAGAGTCCTTGTATATCAGATCCCGTGGGCCTTCTCTTTGTAAATAGAGGAAATGCTTACTGGGTCTGAATGTTAATAGACTCTAGTTTTCTTGAAATTCATTTTTTTTCATCCATTGTTTATCATTAATATCATTTAAATTTACACGTTTATATTTTTTTTTATATCCCAGAAATAAACTTGATAAGACTGGGACGAAACCAGCTGGTTTTTTAGCTATTAAAATATACATTGAAATGCCATATAAATTATGCTTATTCCTAGCTATCCTTAAATTTTGTACTACAAAAAACTTATATATATATATATATATATATATATATATATATATATATATTAGGCAGCAATCCTTCTTTCATGCACATTTCATTGAATACGACAGACAGGTTGCTTTTATTTAGTTTTTTAAACAATTTCTCATGCGATCTAATAATTTTTTTCTTTTTGGATGATAAATTATATAAAAACTGTCCGAATGTTCTTTTTATCCGACCTCTTTCGGCTATACATTTAGCCATTTTCAAGGATTAAATATTTGAACTGTTAAATATTTACATTAAAATATTTAATCCTTGAAAAAGGCAAAATGGTATAGCCGAAAGCGCTCGGATAAAAAGAAAATTCGGACAGTTTTTATATAATTTATCATCTGAAAAAAATATTACATCGCATGAAAAATTGTATAAAAACTAAATAAAAACACCCTGTTTGTCGTATTCAATGAAATGTGCACATATATATATATATATATATATATATATATATATATAAAATTCAATGAAACACAACTTGATGAGTCAGGGAAAAGAAATTCACTGGGGAAATAAATTATAACCAATAAACCCTTAAAGTTATCTGTCTTCATTGAATTCATCACTCTTATTTAACATTGAGGTCGCTGGATTTCATCCTCCTTGGGATTATCCATACGGATAAACCAAGATTTTCATTACTTATATATATATTTATATATATATATATATATATATATATATATATATATATATATATATATATATATATATATATATATATATATATATATATATATATATATATATATATATATATATATATATATTATCAGGGAAGTGAAGTGGACATCGCAAGAGCTATATCAAAGGATCTTGACAAAAGACGGTGAATGAGTGAATGCAGAGTTTGTGGTCTTGATAAATTTTTGGCAAATTTAATAATTCTGTTTCTATAAGACAGTGACCACTAGCACCGAAAATATAGAGATCCAAAAGGGAAGATGTTCCCGTTTAACTGTTCGCCTCTTCCGCCCTGATTCATCCCCACCTTATTCATCTACCAAAGATTGTTACAACAGAATAAAATTTGGTTACTGTGACAATCGGCTCATGGTTTAACTTCGTGGCTAACAATCTGGACAAGTGTTATTTTTTAGCTGCAAATGTTTAAATAAATCACTTATGATGTCTCCGGTTAATATCATTTTGCTTATTTCTCATATGTTCATTTTGCACGATTTACACTATGCCTCTGCTATTTACTGTGATATCCTTGATAAGATCCAAAGAAGAATCAGCAATATTATTTGTCCTGATCTGGCTGCTCGGGGTCTGTTACTTTCCCTGGAAGTTTGCCTCCCTGTGTCTTTTATATAAAAACTCTCATTGTTCAAATGATGTCTTCTGTATGGCAGACATTTTGAATTTAAGCAAAGTACCAAACTGTCGTCGAGATGTCATCAATTTACAGTTGGGCTGGCTAGATATAGCCGTAAGTTCTATGATAAAAGTTTCTTCCCTCGCACTTCTCGCTTGTGGAAATCCCTTCCGGCTCCAGGCTTGCCAGCCAACTTTAATCTTCAAATATTTAAATGCAATTTCAATCGCTATATACTGTCCTCCTGATTATTATTTTCTCTCCCCGCTCATTATTAATGATTCTGTTCTTAATTCTTTCACATCCTGTAACCCCTTGTGTCTTAGTGGCTTTATTGCCTTGCTTATAGAACTCCGTTTTAGCTCCATGCTTCACAGCCAACATTTATCTTCTAATATTTAAATGCAATGTCAATCGCTATCTACTGTCCTTCTGATTACTCTTTTCTCTTCCAGCTCATTATTAATGTTTCTGTTCCTAATTCTTCCACGCCCAGTAACCCCCTTGCGTCTTAGTGGCTTTACTGCCTTGCTTATGGAACTCCATTCCGCCTCCATGCTTTCCAGGCAATTTTAATCTTCAAATATTTAAATGCAATGTCAACCGCTATCTACTGTCCACCTGATTACTCTTTCCTCTTCCCGCTTATTATTCATGTTTCTGTTCCTAATTCTTCCACACGCAGTAACCCCTTGTGTCTTAGTGGCTTTACTGCCTTGCTTATGGAACTCCCTTCCGGCTCCATGCTTTCCAGTCAACTTTAATCTTCAAATATTTAAATGCAATGTCAATCGCTATCTACTGTCCACCTGATTACTCTTTCCTCTTCCCGCTCATTATTAATGTTTCTGTTCCTAATTCTTCGACTCCAGTAACCCCCTGTGTCTTAGTGGCTTTACTCTCTTGCTTATGGAACTCCCTTATGGCTCCATGCTTTCCAGCCAACTTTAATTTTCAAATATGCAAATGCAATATCAATCGCTATCTACTGTATTCCTGATTACTCTTTTCTCTTCCCGCTCATTATTAATGTTTCTGTTCCTAATTCTTCCACACCCATTAACACCTTGTGTCTTAGTGGCTTTACTGCCTTGCATAAGGTGACACACACGCATTTACATATATGCGTGTTTGTGTGAGGAATTTGAATAAATCTAATTCATTTTATTTACCTAAGCAAATCGATGAAAAATATGAATTTATTTTGGTCAAATAAAAAGTAGTTCGTAATAACACTGAAATGCATTTGAACGATGTTCAGTAGTTAAGCATTTTTTGATTGTTATCAAGTGGTATTTCACGATCATGTTTTTCATGTCGACTTCGAACAAAATCGATAAAATCACGCAAAATAAAACATTCGTGTATATTAAACGACTTTTCCAAAGATGATGAACAAGTGCGATAAATCGAGAAACGAAAAAAAAAGAGAGGGGGGGAAGCATTTCCTCTTTTTAATCTTCGTTTGAATTCGGTAGGGTGTGGGAGAGAAAAATCCTTGAATTTATTTTATAAGAACTTGAAAGAAGAAATAACGGCAGAGGCGCCACGCTTTTTCTTCTTCATTTTTGTTTAGTTCTCAATGATCAAATGAACACGTTTCTTCGAGAAACACCCCACCCCGACTCACCTCTATTCAGCATTACCACTTTTGCCTTTTTATCTCGTCTATTTATCAGTCTGTTCATCTATCCACCATTAGCTGCGGCCATCAAACGCAGGCAACGCGCAAAAAGATAAGATCCACTTTCTCTTTCCATATCCTCATTAATTTCCGCATTTTGAAATGTTTACCGAATCATCATCAAATATTTTCAGCAAATAAATTCAAACGACGACTTTTTCTTGAAAGGAAAAATAAAAAAGAAACCAAATGATACATTGATCTATTCAAAATAACGTCATATTATTTCTTAGGGTCACACATTCTAAGGGGGAAAATGTTGGTAGCATTCAGTCATCGCTAACTAGATACTGATTTTTTCCCTAGCCATGATGAACGTCTGTATTTTCGGTGAAGTTCCTTGCAGTGACCATCTAATACAATTACTCTCGACTGCAGTCAGGCGGCTCACTAGTGTGCCGCGCGATCCACTTAAGTCTGCCGTGAAATCAGTGCCGTAGCTAGAGCAGTGGTGTAGCTAGAGTAAACGTCACACGGGGCAGTCCGCTCAAATGTCACCCCAATGACCTCCGATTCACCCTATGCTGAATGGTTAGCTGTATCTAAATTTTCATACATGCTCTACCTCTACTTTACTCTACTGACCGGTACGTTACTGTTTACATGTATGATCCAAGACAAAATCCAATACCACAAAATAATCAGTTCAAATCAAAAGATTTTTAAAATGCAACAACTGTTCAGAACAACTAAAGAAAAAACGGCAAATACAAAAAATGACATTCAATACTATAGTCTTAAATGAATGTTTTTCACAGCAAACTGGTCAAGATCGTCAAAAGTCTCGTTTTCAATGGACAGCACAGCCAGATCCGAAAGTCTCGACTTTT